TTGTTCTTCTGTCAACGGTTTTGTTTTATGTGTGTCATTAAAGGATTTTATATTAATGCAGATCTTTATTCAAAGAGCCTATTTCACCTTTGTTTCTTTTTTTGCTGTAGATGAGAAACGATCTTCATGCGGATTGGATTTCAAAACAACATTTAATATATTATCTGGAAGAAAAAAAAATGACTTTGCTGAACTATGCTAAAATGTGTAGTTAGCTCATTCCAAGCAGTTGTCACTACTTCGCCATCTCAATTTTTAGGTAGGCCTAAATAAACATTAACATTACCTCAAGGACGACAAGCCATTTCAGTATATTCATTTATCATACTTTGAAACATGTCATAGCTTTTCAAACATCCTCTAAATGTAAATTAAAGCTAACCTTTTGAAAAAGTAGCTATTGAAAAGTAGCTCATTCTAAACTTTAGTTTAGACGTATAGTATAGTATAGTGACGAATAGTGGACTTCAACTAGATATTTCTTTAAAAAAAAAAAAACTTTTTTTTTAACCGTGACCTGTTCAAACTAACTGATTCACTAAAATAAATCAGATTTTTTTTCCCAGCACTATAAATCATTGAAACAAACTGATTCATATCAACGTTGGTATGAGACAGAAGACAGGCCGCTAGTTTGTGTGCATTACAAAAACTAGCAATGTACCATTTAACCTACATAGCTTCTTATGTAAAAGTTACTAAAAAAGCTTCAGTATTCTGTCAAGTCCTAAACTACTGTCAAAATAGTTACTTCCCAACACTGATTCTGGCTGTAGAAACACAAAATGAAATGTTAGCAATGCTCTGTTTTAGCGTTCCGTGTTTGCTGTAACCAAAATCCTGCTTAATGCCCTTCAGAGACAGAGAGCACTGCACTGTTTGTGAACATCTGCACTGGTCATTAGAGCAAGAGATGGCCTCAATCTTTCAGCTAGCTTCAAAATGACTGAGGAAAACACAAGACAAAGTACACCAGGCTGCACAGTGCTAGTCCCGCCGGAGAGACCAGCCTAACCTTTAGCTGACAACACGGCAGCAACTTTGTTACTTTAGTGTCACGTCAGCTTACAAGAAATGCGTTTATATTTGAGAATAATTGCTCTTATCAGCTGAGGGCGAAAACTAGAGCACTGGAGAACTAGAGTACTTCCGAACTAAGAAGTTATGCATTTCTGACCTTTTCCAGATTACAAGGAGAGTGTTAGCTTAGGTTAGCTGAGGTAAAAAAAAAAAAGAAAAAAGAGCATTGCACACCTGCACAGCACCCAAAACATAGATTAAACTAAAATAGCTGATTGGACACAGTTTGTGTTGAAGTCCACATACTGCGATTTTTCTAATAATTTGTCTCTGTCTTCTTAGGTGGTGACTTTATGGACTTCTCCGCGGCACAGACCCAAGTATGTAGCTTCTCATGTTTTCAAGGGCGATAGTAGGCAAACTTCACTTTGCATGGTGGCGAAGAGCAGCGATTGCATCCGAAGTATGCAATTTTTTTCTTTTATAGTGTGTAAGCCACCTGCAGTTTTTAATACAGCTACTTTATCTTAACACCATCCTTTCGTTCAAAATGTGCATCCTGAAATCATCATTTCATCAAGCAACTAGGTAATTATAACTTTATCTGTAAGTGTGCGACCGAAATGAATCACAAAACCAATTCCGTTGAGCTCAATTTGTCAAAGTTCCTGACTTCAAAGATTACTCACATTTTATTGACCTACAGATAAACATATGGCACATCCATAAATGCATACAATCTACGGCGTGACTCCAGATGCAAATACTGTATGAAAAAGTGAAAGATAAATTTTTATGGTTCATTTCCATAAGTTTACACAGCACAAGGTAGATGGGTACCACAAAGTGGTTCCTGAATGAGGGCCGAAAGGGGGGAAAAATACAAGTTATTACAACCAAACCATGCTTTACATGTTGGTTATCTTTCACCGATAGCCAGCTTTCCATAACGGTAATAAATCCAGTCATGTTGACTGCTCTGTGAGTTTGCTTGCATTTACAATCTTAGTAAAACCACTGTAGAGGAAAATTGAAGTTGGATTAAAAAAAAATGAATGAATAGATAGATAAATAAATAAGTGGTCACCCTGTGCTGTCTTTAAAATGGATGCCTGAAATTTACAGTTTTCCATTAACTGATGCCTAACAGCTTCCCTCTCCCTGCTTGCATCCTGGGCTTTCCTGTCTGTAACTACTTTCTGACAGGGTTTATTTTTGCCCGTTTCTCAACTTAAATGTGTCCGTTGCTTTTTTGTCTGCTGCTTTTAACTTTATCTCTCCCCGCTATGAAATGTAACCGCATCGGCATAAACATTGGCACGCCGGTTATTACCTTTATCATCAATAGAGATGTCTGCACGGTATCAAAAGAATCATTTGTTGTTGATGTGACGGGCCAATACCATTTACCCATACTTTGAGAGCAATACGAGCATCGTGCTTTCCATCAATAATTACCTTCTCGATGCTTTGAATATGAATCGAATGATATCCTTTCCCCAGACCAAAACGATTTCTGCCTCTCCCTTCGACTACAAAAACCCCACATCATATTTGATAATATGTACTAAGGGAGACAGGTCTGGGAAGGCATAAATCTTTTTTTCCCCCCTTATTTAATTTGTTTTTGTGTGTGTTGCGATAGGGATTATTATTTCTCAGCTGGTGGGATCACATCGCTCATGGTTGTAGACCCCTGAAGAATTCTATTAACCCTGGTTATGTCTGCCTTAATAACATGCCACACTGCTAAACAGGACTGGATTGATTCTGTGCGGATGTGGGGATGGGGAATCTTGTATAATAAATCCAAGCATAATTTACTCGGAATAAGAACGGGCGAAATAGAACACAGAACAAAGAGGAAGGGATTAAGTCTATCTCTTATCTCGCCGGCACTAACTTAAGAAAATAAATAAGGAAACGATCCAATCGAGAGGAGTGCGTCGGAGCGCTTTGTAGGATTGCCGATTGATTGGCTCGTCAATGGAGGCTGCTTTTCTTTTGTTGTGTTGCAGATGTGATTTGAGGAACCGGGACCGTGCCACGCTCGCCCCTAATTTGCTGCTGGCGAGGAGACGTTGAGCTGGAGGCACGGGAAGACCGCTCATGTGATGGCTAGAATCGAATCAATTCAGTCACCTTGAACTTTGAAGATGAAAGAATCACATGGGCACAGTTGGCCTCTCTCTTCCCTCACTAGCAGTTATAAAATTCTTAAAAGAGACATAACAGAACATACACATGCACAAGAACCTTATCAGTCGCATCTGGTACAAACCATCACCGTACCACGAAGACGGATCTACACGTCTCCTAATGACACGTCTGGTGCCATCTATCTCGTCGCCGCTGTTGTTTGAGGCACAAATTTGTAAGCGTCGTCGCGAATGAAGATGCAGTTTAGCAGGGCACAGTCAATGAGGCATACTGCGAGATGGTAATCTCAGCCTGCCTCTGGCCCTCTGGCGATGCTTTACAGTCGCGTTTCCCCAAAGCCTGCTTGTGTACCGCGCCTAATGGAGACTCTCTCATCGCCCATGCCAAAATTAAATGAACTGTGCCATTTCAAAGCGCCTCCTGCCTACTGTAGCTTCTAGCACGCTCGCAAAGCCGTGACTCCCTGGAGCGTCCCGTTGAGCATTTATATCATTTCATATACATACGTTGCACACATGTGTACGTGGGTTTATTAACGCGACTGTGTAACTACTAGGTAGAGACACTAGACAAAAAGTTGCATGATACATTTTATGATATAATTATATTTCATTTTTGAAAATATCGTAACAATGCTAACTATTGATTTCAATGCATTAATCCTTAAAGTTTATGGAGATTCAGAGAATATCCTAGTCATATGATCGTCTTGTGTTTAAGTTTGTGCACTAGTGACGTCATATGCGTGGTGTAAACAAGCAGTAGTGATGCCAATGTAAGACGAAAAATAGATAACATTATTTAAAATTATATATTGGTAATTATTCTTATATTTCATATAACATATTAATATTTATTTATTATTATTTAAGTAGATATTAAATATGATTTACAATAATGAAAAAAAACTATATATTTGTTGATTGCGTTTAGCCAATCAAAGGTTAAATACCACAAACCTCTTCAGGCAGTCCATGAAAAACAAGCTCTAATTTTTTTAGATTTCAATTTGATAGTCATTAAGTCTGGAGGATGCTTTTTGCAGAATATCATCCTTTGCTGGTTGCTGAGAAGTTTTAGTGATGCCAGGAAGAGCCAGATATATGCATGTAGAATGTGTCTTTATTTTCTGGCTTTAAATTGTAACAAAGGTTGATTGCATATCATGCTTTTCTCCATATCATGCAATCCTACAAGAAAGCAGCTTAAGCACTCTTTCCTTTTTACTCATTAAGAGAAAACAAGAATATTCTTGACAGATGACAGATATTGGAGTCTATATTTGTCCGTATGCCAAAAATCCATACTTGCAGACTTGTTGCTTTAAAACTGATGCATGCTGGGCACACAGATAGAAAAGCGAGAAATTGAGAGGTTGGGTTTCTAAGGAAACCCTTCCATCAGTGGACAAAGGTAAGCTGATTGAACAAGAACCAGGGTGGTCTCTTGCTAAACAATGCCCCTCTATCAAGCCTCAGTGTGTTGATTGGATCCAACAAGTGAATCCATTGAAAACTCACAGAAATGGCAGCAGTTTATAGGCTCATAAAGATCCCCTTTGAGCTCCTTTTCTATTATGAAGAGCAAAGGATATCTAACAGCATGGGAGAACTCTGGGCGTTAAGGGCAGCCATTAAAGCCAGTGTTAACAGCAATATGGCTTTTTGTGGCACTTGCTTTGTTTGGTATTTGATGCAAGGCCCTTAGAGAGTTCTCTTTTGAATGTGGTACAGATTCAGCTGTTTTCAGTGACATCTTTTAACTTGCAATCTGTAGTGTCTAGAGTGCGTATTACGACACAAATAAGTTTTTCCTCTTACCGTAGGTAGTCCCTCCGACAGAGGATGAGGTTGGCTTTGGTGTACAGCGTGGAGCCCACCTCGCCGAGTCGGCAGTCGCAGCAGGCACACTTGAGGCAGTCTTCGTGCCAGTACTTGTCCAAGGCCTTCAGAAGGTAGCGGTCCTTGATTTTCCGGTTGCAGCCGGCACAGCCCTTTGGCTTGGTGTCCGGCTGGACGGAGAGCATTTGTATACCTGCGAAGACAGGCGACAAGGGGCAACACGAGGGTGAGAACATGGTTCCTGGTGACTTTTGACAGTCAGTCATGTGCTGTGTTTTTCAGTCAAGAGATGAACACACACTTTTTGGTCAACAATAACAAGAAGCCAATGTAGCTAACATCCTCCTCTTCCCCCCGCTTTAGGGGAGGGGCCCAAGCTTGCCCCCAGAGCAGGCATTGTGTAGCCCTTTACAGGGCGTGAAAGGGCTTTGTTGGGTAGAGAGGGAACAATGTGGTCTCATGCTGAAGGCTTGTAATTAGTATTCTCCTTCCATACAGAGGAGAGTAAGCTGTACCCGCTCCCCCCTACGCCATCGCTCCGGCCCCTCTTTTTTTGTCCCGGCCCAAAAAAGTTTTTGTCCTACATTTTTACAAGTACGTCTGATTCTGCCCAGTTGTCCTGCCACTGAGACAGTCCCCATTTCTCACCTTGTGCAGGAGAAGCTGTCAGAGCCATAGATTCCACCTAATGTATATGCTGCTCTTGGAGGGGGGTGAGAGCGCAAGCAGTGAGAAATTGCGAACTTTGAGTGAGAGGGTCACCGAGAGATTTCTCAGCTGTGGTAAATTGAGTGTCTGTCTGAATTGAGGACCTCCCTTGGGATAGTTATAATGCGCTCGTCGCCGCGATGCGTTGTCCAGGCAATCTCGCTGAAATACATTCATAGAGGAATATGAGATTAAAAAGCCTTGTTTGGACTGCATGAATCTGTCTTGACAAGAAAAGTTTGTGAAACATTTGGTATAATATTTAGGAAATTTGTGGCAAAATTCTGACATTATTACTCACCCTTATGTCATTAGAAACTTGTTTCATTGTATTAATAAAATAAAATGCAATGAAATTTAATTTTAATTGAGACTTTTGCGTTCTACAGAAGAAAGAAATTCATACATGTATCGGAACAACATGAGGGTGAGCAAATGATGTTGGAATTTATTTTTGGGTGTGCTATCCCTTTAAATAGACATGCATGTCAACACATTTGGAGACCATTAAGACTCTGCCCTACCTAACAGATACAGAGAGTTTGCCACTTTCTTTTTTTTAACATGTGGCCTTGACGATAATTACTTTCAAAAATGATTTGCCAAAAGCGTGGCAGTTGGCCCTCACAGAAAATAAACAAGACAGTGCACCAATTAGTAAGACTGAGGACAGGTGTGAAATTGTTTCAATTCAACTGAGCATTACAATGCAGGGAAAGGAACAGCAGGTAGCCGATCCCTCTAGGGTCATAATTATAGCCTAGAGCAAATATCTGATGCAGTACCATAGGCTTAGACTGTGAACAACTTCTTTCTGCTGTAGGACCATGCTCGTTAAGATGTAGGAGCATTCAATGAAAACGAGGCGAGGGATAATGATGATTCCTTCGACCTCGCTGGCGTTTTTATGATGCTTTATTTTGAGTTTATTCAAAAGAGTGAGCTTGATGAGGGGAAAACAGCAAGGAAGCACATCAGACAGGTAGCACCGCCGCACTGTTTGTCCCATTGTGTTTAATCTGTTGATCTTTTAATTGGCTGGATTGGATTGTAAGAGCAGCACACGGCTGATTTCCTCTGCTATGCGTTCTTGTTCTGTCCCACTCATCCGCACCGTCCCAGCTTGCCTGGTTAACACAACAAAGTCACCGCCTCTCATTACCAAGCCAAAGAAGTTAGAGTTTCGACTCCCCTCACCCTCGGTCCGCAATCATGGTTAGTCCTAAATGAATCGATTGTGGCACAAACTAACTAGCCCTTCTATTCACAGGCTTGGATTCCCAAATCTGTTTTTTTTTCTAATGGGAGTGTGGGTTAATGCCCTCATCGATTTTCCTATATCAAACGGTGAACAAAAGATTAATCTAACACACTGAAATGGGGCTTGGGTAGCCATTTTAACAAATACAGAAACCGAGTGATTTTGATAACGATTTTCTACTGATGTAGAACACTCTATTGAACAACTGTTCTTTGAAGCACGACCACTTTAGTCCGATTCCTGAACGCATGACTCTTAACTGGCTCTTTTTAGTCTTTCAAAATTATACAGCAAGACCAGTGTAGTTCGATTGGATAAAGAATGACTCTTATGAGCCGGTTCTTTTAGTGAATCAAAAACATACAGCGCTATAGCCCGAATCCCGAGCCAATGACTCTTATGAATCGGCTCTTTTTAGTGAATCAAATACATGCAGCCTGAACAGTGTAACACGAGTCCTGAACTAATGACTCTTTTGAACCGGTTCTTTTTAGCGATTCAAACATACTTTTGTACCAGTCGGAGCTGTTACTGAATTAATCTGACACTTGATTGAACCGCAAAATGACATTTGTCATATTCGACTCTAAATGAACCAAGAACTGTCACTGTGTTATGTTGTACTTAACTGACTGAATGGCACGAGTTGAGCACTTTAAGATACACATTATGAGTCAGTAGGCACATTTTATTAAATAAATTAATGCTTAATGAATTAGGTCACCACATTTTTGTTTAACATTTTCACTTATATAAAATGGGACCAATTATCAGACTGCATCTAAGCCGCCTCTGAAAAGTCTACGACAAGTCATTACGTCAATCTAAACACATCTTTTGGAAGAACTGAATTAAATGTATGTCTTATTTGTCATATTGGTGCTGATGAAATCTGAAATTATCTCATGGTTTGCAAACAGATTGCTGAGAGCAGTAAATGCAACACGAATCGCAGTTTCTCCCGAAATATTTCCTCCTCAAGAGTAGCCTACTAAAAGAATAATTAATGGAACCGTTACAGAACCGAAATCATTACGCGCAATCGAATTCGCAACCAAAATCGTTAAATTCTCATCCCTACAGGCCTGGGACATTGGTGTCTTTTTTTGTCTTTCCTCGCTCACTCAGATCTTTCATTATGTCCCGTTCGCATAGTGATACGATGCTCTTTGTGCGCTTCACTGTTCGCAGATACTGATGGAGAAATTTCAGGCGAGACTTGGCAAACACCGGGCGCAAAGTACCAATTTGATTTCACATCACAGCTGCGCGAGCCGGAGATGCTGACATTTCACCCTCTTATCAGTTTAATTACTGTTGCCATGGCAGCCTAGCGCACTGAAAAGGCCAGTAAGAATTGCAGCTTGCAAAACGACAAAATGAAACCGTCAACGCGCTAGAAACGGTGATACGCAACGGCACATCATATTAAACGCTATTCACAATTGTCTAAGCAAACCACGAAAATTCGCACGGGGAAATGAGGAAAATGCGTCGCTTCGGCAAAATGCAGCTGTATGAGGTTAGGCAAAACAGCCCGCGGTATGCATAGAAACATCCCAAGTACCCATCCACACATTTAAACATTTCACACTCGCGTTGATAGGATGCAAAACGCAGCTCTTACCGAAACTTTTCTCCCTTTTCTGCATTGGTTGACCCGCTTCGGCTCCCAGAAACACCATGCAACGAGACGAGGCTGGAGCCAAAGACGCGCGTAAAGTCAGCAGCTGCTGTATGCGCGCGAGGGTGCTTCGCTTTTGTTACAAGTAACAATCCACCTCGCTCCGGCAGAAAAGAGTGAAAACGACGAAAACACCAATCAACAAAACACGGGAGGGAGGAAGAAAGAAAGATAGATCGAGCCGCTATCGCTCAGCGCCACACGCTGTTAAGACTCCGTTTGTCACAACAGTGCTCGTCTATGAAATTAGATCGACCAGCAGCCGTGGCGAGGCAAGTGGCGGCGAACAAATGACAGCGGATGACAAAGGCATATGCTTTACCCCTTCGCGCTCGCCGTAATCTTATAATCCTATCGTGCCTCTCGCTATTCGCCTATTTCAGTGCGCGTACAGTAAAAGGCACCAAGTTGGGTGTATACAAAAGACAACATACAGGAACTCGCACATACTAAAACGAAATCCCATTTTGTCAAACATTTACGAAGTGATGCATGCCATATTTATAGAATATAAACACGAATGCTATATTACCAACACATTCTACAATCTCTTTCAAGCTTTAAAAACTGCTCTTAATTGCTTGTTTTTGAATGCACAAACTTTAATGCAAATAAAGTGTGTATATTATCATAAATACACATCCACTATTTGCAATGTTGTTTAAGTGCACTCTTATTGTGTTAATAGCTGTCTAGCTATTGTTTGTAATTTATATCAGTCGTTATTTACTGCCGTGCACACAGCTTGGGTGTTTATAATGCGTTGCAATGTAGTTTCCTAAAGAAACATCGTTTCGTTTTTGTCCATTGCTGTGCAGAAATGACAACCTGACTTTGCATGATCAGTTTATCTGAAATAATTTGAATCACATGCACAAATTATGCGTCTACGTAAGGCATGCAAGACTGAATGTTGTATTAACCATCAAAGACTACTAAAAGCATCCTCGGTTGGTTAAGCAATTAGTTTCGCAGTGCATTTAGGACCAAACGAATTAGAGCAAATCCGTTCGGAAAAGACAAAGCACAACTCACCTTCTTGACCAAGTTATGCAGAAGGTTAACTTAGGATAGAGCACCGACTCCAACTCAATATTCCTCGGAGCAAAAGTTCACGAATCTGACATTGCACCGCGGATAAGAGTGATCTTCAGGCTGAAAATAATGAGGTCCACATGGATCATCTACGAGTAGTAGTTCGCACCAAAAGCTACAGGTGTTCTCGTCATGTATTGAGTACTCTGAGAAAGCTCACAACAACTTGCCCATCAGTGAGTGAGGAACGAGGAATAGTGAAGCCTAGCTTTATTATCTTCAAACCCAATCCCTCACCAGTGAGACATTACACGAGGAGGAAAAGGTCATTCGGTTATTACCGACAGTCGGAGTAACGGAGCGCGCGCTCGCTAACACAAACTTAATGCTCACCTCTCTGAGACGCGCGCGCAAACATGCTATGAGCTCTGTACTACAGGTTTAGACTCGCTCTCTCTCTCTTTGTTTTAGCAGCTAGGTAACAATTTCGTGGTGCTACTTAGTGTTTTATAGCAGAACCGGTCTGATTCATAAAACGCACACAGTTATGTATATGCATGCATATGTCTGTCATTTTGGCGACAGGTGTTTGTGCACTTGCATCTGTTTGAATCGTAATTATACTAGTACTTCTGAATTCAGGCAAATACACTCTGAAAAAATACAGATTCAAATTAGAACAAAAAAGGCTTTCACACCCTGATGCCTTATATAAGAACCTTAAGTTTCACAAATAACTTTATCTTAAAGACATCTTTATAATGAGGCTTTAACAGAGCCAGAAGCCAGTATGCTGATATGGAGAACATATAATTTAATAAAAAAAAAAAAACGTTTTAATCTCTCAAAAAAAGCATGTAAATAACTTAAGAATCCTATATAACAAAAATGGTACTTGAAAATGAGCATAAAAACAAACAAACTTTAATATCTCAAAAAAAGCATATAAATAACTTAAGAATCCCATATAACAAAAATGGTACTTGAAAATGACAAAAAGGTTCTTTGCTGATCATAAGGTGCGCAATAAATCACTAAGGAACATTTCATTTTTAGAGTGTAAGAAAATGCGGACTGCATTACAGTACTGTATATGCACTTGATTAAGTACAGCACCTGTGAGCACATCAGGTGCAGATTAGTTTTTAAATCCAGGAATATTTTGGTCTCATATTAAATCAACACACCTAATTCATTCAGTATTTAAGTGATTAATTTAGTAGTACTTCATAGACTATGTTGGTTCAGAGCAGCTTTAATTGATTTAGAATCATTGATATCATCTAAAACTGTTTGCTATAAATTTGGCTCAAGCAGCAAATCATAAATGTGTCTCTTTTTAACTCATATTACACTGGGATATCATTTAGCATTAACTATATTGTTAGTCTCTTAAAAAAACAAGTGTAGATGTAAGATAAACTCACCAAGTAGTGTACTTTACACACACACATTACGCACTATTTTGTGTTATACCTAAATCTTTCCAGGTAACCCCTGAAACCTTAAGTGCCCTCGGTGTCCGTGTACTTCTAGTTGGGAATCACAAAAAGTGGAAACATAACAATAAAGAGAAGAGCTGTAAAAAGCATGTCTTGCCAACTGTGTCATCTGTAATCACACATTTAAAAATACCCTTTTTAAGTTAAAAAAAAGATTTTTGCATAAACCTACAGTATCTAGCACTAGTGTGTGATCTCTTGTCTGAAAGCATTTGTCTTCAGTCGTTTAGGCCTAAATTAAGTCGTATTACCCCAGGACACACAATGATCATTTTCCATTATTGATCATAAACTTTCACGCTTCTTGTATGTGATCACTGTGCACCTGCAAAATTAAAGTCCATGAATAGAAAGACAAAACTCTGCATGTTTGTGTGCGAGAGAGTAATACATTTCACTGTTTTCACAGTTTTTTTCCCCCAGTCTGTGTTTCTAAAGCTATTCCTCGCCCATTGGTTACACCTGTTCACTCTAATTAGCACTGCTTGATACCCATGTTGCCGAGGTAGGATGAATCACAGGCCTTCAGTGCCACCTACTCTCCCTCCCCACACACATACACACACAGTGAGAGAGAAAAAGAAACATAATCACACACTCACTGTAGAGTTTATTTTCTGTCATGGCCCAAAAGTAGTCATTTATCGTCAGCCCTGTTTGGAAGTGACTAAACCGAGAATGTGGAGACGGAGAACTGATGGTAACAGAGTTGCGTAGTGGTAAGATTGTGGCCCCATGCCAATCACTCTCTGCCTAAAATACAGCAGTAATGAGATGGGTCATAAAATGCTCCTAGCTTCCATTATGAGTGATGAGATGCATTAAAGCTGACAGGGTATTACCTGCCAGTAATTAGGTTTTGTCATGGATTGAATTATTTCAAAGCGGGCTATCTTGGTAATCATGCAATTTGCGGGGGAGACGCTTTAAGCTAAGTAAAAGGGAGCGGGAAAGAGAGAGAGAGTAGGGGACGCTGTAACCCCTTCTTCTTTCTCTATCCTCCCGCCACCACTTCATCTCGCGCATTATCACGTCAATTATTCACCGAAGATATCTGAATTATTGGGGGTGATGAGCTGAGAGTGCCATCACCAGACTGTGCCAAGCGAGGTGAACGCAGCAGTCCGTCACGTTACGTGACGCTCGCACGAAACAGTCCAGCGCGCAGTCTTGGCGAACAGACGTCGTTAAAATGAAGAGCTGCTTATTATTTCGCCTCACTCTCTCTCGCTCTCTCGCTCTTGCTCACCCCCATCTCTCTCTCTCTCTCTCTCTCTCTCTCTTTTACACACAGACTTGCGATGTAACGTCAGCAAAGAGAGGGATATCCGACAGACGACCACCCCACTTCATCCGAGGAATGCAGGTTCGTTTTTGTGGTAGAAATGAAAGCGGAGTTTAATTACCGGGCTTCACAAGGGGAGAAATCTTTTTTCGTGGAGGATTGGAGTAAAAAAAAGATATTTCCTGTTACTCTTACCCTGGTTTAAGCCTCCTTTGAGCATCTCCAGCGACCATTCATTTCACGGAAGCTTCAACTTAATCCCAGTTTTAAACCGCTGCTAGTAACATACAGAGAATATAATGCTTTCGCGCACCCACCACAGTCACTCACATTGTAACAGACGCAACCGACTCTTCGCTTCCTTATTTAGGAGAGAAACCGTCAAAGTAGTTGGCAATTATCCCTACATCCTTTATCCTAACAACCTTAATTAGAACAAAAGACATTCACCAATTAGTTCCGGTTTAGGGTCAAATTAAAACACTGCACGAACAATTGTTTCCAAGCTTCTTAATGAGGCTGCAGATCAGAATATGTTTGAGGAGGAAAAAAAGATCTGATTGAAAGATACTGTACCGAGGAAAAGTTGCCGATTAAGACGAGATGGTAGCTCAAATATAGCCGGTTCCCTTGTCAAGTTCCAGGCGAGCGGGTTAAAAACATGCAGCCCACCTCGGTGCAACTCCTCCTCGCTCCCGCTTTAAAAAGATTCCCCTCCTTCTCCCCACGACGGCTGTTCCTTCGCTCGCAGTCTCGTTCCCTCTCTGGCAGCAAAGCAAAACAGACCTGAGCCGGCCCGCACGTCTCCTCGCCTATTTAAGCACCTTCACCAGGTCCCTAGTTAGCAGCACACTCCAGCTCATCCAAGAAGCTGACAAGCACCGTTAGGGAAGGCAGCGCATGTTGCTCTAATGGACCTCATTAAGTTCTACTTACAGATGTTCTCTTAACATAATTGATCTGCAGCGAGTTGAGAGGACGGCAACCTATTCCCTAGCCCCCAATTATGGCCCAGTAATTAGATCCCCAACCTCCAGTTCTCCACATTCACCCTTCTAACATTCCGAAATATCAAAGTATCTCTTTCTCTCAAAGCAAACCCTCCTGCCTCCCCCACCACCTAACCTTCGTGTCTCCACCTCCTTTGCTCCCTCCCCTCCCTAAGACTCCATTCCTCTGACAGTATTGACAGTCAGATCTGCTAACCTTTGTAGTGAAGCCAGACTTAGTAGTGCACTCACTCCAATTGACAGAGCTCAGTCTAGCTTTTTTCCCCTCTCGTTTTTTGCGCTCGCTCTCTCTGGTTCTCCTTTTCTCTCCCTGCTGAAATACCCAGGGAAAGAGTGAAGGATGGAGCGTGAGACACATATGGAGGGGGAGACGGATGGATAAAAACAAGTTTGCTCTTTTTGATAAAAGGTTGTAATGATAATATCTGTCAGGGGAGGATCTCTTTTTTTGCACAATGCCTTTTTATCTTTAATAACTCCTCTGATGGTGAACGTAAGTGCAGGAGAGAGAGGCAGGTGGTGGTGTGAACGGTGAGCAGAGATGGCGCAGCGGTTATAATGCCAATCAGAACCACTCCCTCCACCCGCTTAATTATCCGCCGTGCTAAAACACAGAGCACTTTAGGGAAATGTGAATGTCACGCTTACGCACTTAAAAGACGAGACGGTTTCGTCACACAGGGAGAAGAGGAAGCCGGGGTGGGTGCGTTTGGTGCCAATCATTGGCGTAAATTTTTCTAGATCATGCACAGTTTGTGGTGTAAACGTGACATGAACGTGTAGGCAGCGGAGCTTTGTGAGAGCAAAACATGGCAATATGTGATTTTTCTTTTCAAGTCTTACAGGTGTTCGATTAAAGTTCAAAAGGGTCCAGTTGGTAAATTTCCTTCCTTAACTTGCACTGTTTCACTGATGACGACGATCATCGTGTCAGGACCAACTTGACTTGACTTGACTTGTTTCAAGAGCTTATATAATGTATAAGCAATGTGCGTTTTATTTCATGAATGATTCTATGTGTTCATTGATAATTGATAGTATTCATTGTGATTTTAGCCTTGAAGTGCAGTCACATTAGTGGAATTTCTGCAAAATTTTGTGGACAAGGTAAGTCTATTGTCAGTAGTAGTTACTCAGAGGACACTTCCAAACTAGATAACTTTATATTGGTAAACACAGCAAATTTGCATGTTAAAAGTTCAACAAACAGTAACACAATCAAACAAAAAAATTCCCTCACTGACGCAGATAGCCAAGTGGGCAGTGTGCCATCATATAGCACAGTTTTGCTTCGGGTGTCCCGAGTTTGAGTCCCAACTCACGTACCTTTTCCGATCCCATCTCCCTCTCTCTCCGACTCGCTTCCTGTCAGATTTCCACTGTCCTATCAAGAACAATGCAAAAATACCAAAAATATATATAATTAAATAAATAAATACATAAATAAAACATTCCCTTGTGTGAATCTCCCAATCGCATGGATTCAAATTGAGATGACTGCATTTCACCTGCAGAATTGCGCCGTACAAAGGTAAATGAGACCACACCTTTAGAGGGGCTTGGAACCTTTTGGGTGATACTGGGGTCATGGTCTCATATTGCTGGACTAACAATATTTTTTATGGACCAATTAAAATTTTTACTGTGAGAGTATGTGTATAATGAAAGGGCCATAGTAGTTGCATTTTATTTTGTGTGTGTCAGTGAGCAGGCCACAGACGAGTGATAGACAAATTTCAAATTTACAAGTGTGAAACATTGCTTTACTTGGGGTTAAATGCTTGGTTTAAAAAGACATTAACCTGGGGTTAAGCACATTGTGACAAGCATATGTAATTATATTCAAGAGAAATCATTTTAATCAGATAGAACCAATCAAGTTTTTTTTTTAAGATGTATTGTCTGCAGTCATCATATAGCATGTGTTAGTGTCCAGATTCTTTGCCATGTGGCGTTTTATATCCTTCTTTTACTGGTTGTTGCCCCATTGAGATTCATGAATGCACCTTTGTATTTATCCAGCACATCTCATCATCTTTTCCTAACACTTTTCAAAATCCCAAACTAAGTTACCCACACTATTCTTCCACAATCTAGTAAGCACCTCCTGACTCTAGTACAGATTCACATTCAATCTAATTCCACATACTCTCCTAGAATTCTCTGCTCCCAGTGGACACAAAGGGACATGTGACTTTGCACTAATGACCACAAGAGCCTCTCCTTAAAGAGAAACCCAATAATTGCTTCAGGTAGGTGACCCTCAACTAGGGTCAAGGGATGCCTAGTTTTTAACGACAACTTTCGTACTCCCAGCCTTGCTCTCTCTGCCTTGTAGACCATTGTAGAATTTTAGTTTTTGGCCGAGAGACAGCTAAAGCGAATAATAGAGACTCCTCAGCAAAGTCTGAAGAATCACCTTTAGTAATGGGCCTGAGGGGACACGTTTGAAGTTAAAGAACACCCAGACCACAATATACTGGCCTATCCTATTGTCGCAGTGGGAATCAATGGCGATTACTTAATTCAACCAGCAATTAATTTGTTAAGGCCAGTCTGAGAGCTAGAATATCCAAGTGCAATGTGACTCCATTGCAGAAGGAGTGCGTTCCTTGACTGCCTGAAGGCCGGTTTTAAGTAGGTAGGTCTGCAGTGAGATCAGGTCATTTTAATGTACGACTACCTTTGTCATTCAGGATGATTTTATGGATGTTGAAGTTCTGTTGCTCATGTCAACCTTTCTGATTTGTGATGTTTGCATTTTTATAGTCATTATGTTTTGAGTAAACCGCTGCTTTTTAAAAGGTTGCATAAATTTGCAGACAAAATAAACCATTAAATTAATTAGACCATTACCTTGTGTGTCTACTCTCCGCAGTCCACTGCACTGGATAAATATTGAAGCATTATATATATAGATGTAATAATTGAAAAATAGAGATTCTGGATATTTGCAAATGTGAATGGATGCATGTAGGAATAGGTGTATTTCATCCAAGTAACATAGAGCCCACAATTAAATATTTTATGTGATTAAATATCTATTATGATGAATATTTTGCTGTTATTTTACCTTGAGCTTCTAGGTCACGTTGGAGGTTGGAGGTCAGTTTTATGCTTTCCAATTGAATCTTCCATCACAATGAAGCCTTTACAGTCAATAAACCAGCCAGTGCCTTTTGAGTGTTAGGCCACACACAGCCACATGTTTTCAAAACCACAAGAAGATGAGCCTTTGAATAATATTTCTACAAGCCTTTAATGATAACCTTGAGCAATACTGGTACCTGCTACATAATATCTATTGATTCTATCCAGCATGATTTCCTTGAGTAGCTCGGTTGAAATGACTTGTGTGTTTGGAACTAAGCATTTCAAACAGACTGCTGTATACCTCTGCGGCAATCAATCAGCCTTAATCCAAAACCAATTTACTCCGCCTGAAGAGGAAAATATCTTTTAATCTCTTGCCGACAATCCCTGATTGCAGTGCTGAGCATCAGTTGACAGTAAAATGGAGACTTGCTTGTGATGGAACCTCTATGCACTACACAAAACAGTCTTTAACTAAACTTGTTATATACACACTATAGGCAAAGAGATGCTGTAAATTGCAGTATAATTGTCGTGTTAATTTAGTTCATTCTGCTCAGAAGCAGTGCAATTATTGGTGCATACGTGTAGGGTCAGTTTTTTTCAGTTCAGTTCAAGGTTTATCTTTGAAAACGCAAGTATTTCATTTCGAGCACAACCACTAGTGCAAACTGAACAAAAATCATTTTTTTCCCAACTCCTACATTGTCCAATCAATTAGAAAAAAAATAATTGTAAACTACAACTAAATCTTATTCCACTATGTCCTAAATATAAAATTGCAATCTCTTAAATATTCATATCAACTAGCACCAAGCTGTCATGCATTAAGCTCATGTATTCAATCTCATTATCTATAGTGAGAGTAGACAGACTTATCTTTTTTATTTTTAAATCTTACGAAAGATAGAGAATTCATCCCAAAGCTAACTACAACTAATGAGGGCGCTGAACCTCACCTTTCATTTCCTTGTAACACACCAGTTACTGTCAAATCTTCACGTATACTGCACATGGCGAAAATAGGTTTGTATTCATAATGAAATTGATTGTTGTATTAATGCTCAAAATAAAGCAAAATGGAGGTTAAGGTGCAATTTGTCCCTTTTTGACCCATAAAAAGTCTCTTAATCACGTCTGCTTTGTCTTGATTGCAAATAAAAGGAGTCAAAATATGCAAGCAACTTTGTCTTGCTGACAAATGACTCCAGAGGCCCAGGAACAAAACCAGACATCTCGTTGTAAAGTTTTGGCGCTGCTGATGCTGTTTTGGAGGCTGGGGGGTTGATCTCAGAGTCTGTCAGCCAGTTAGATGAGGCTCTGATTTTCATCTGCGTGTATATATGGGAGCACTAATTGGCAAGATGAAGCGATGATTGATGTCACTGATGTTCTCCTGCGCTCTTGCTGCAATTTTCCCACCCACACGCGTCAGTCAGTGTAATGACATGGTGTTGCTACCGTAAAAGTTGCCCTTTTACATTGATCTGAGATCAGCGCTGTGCAATTTCTTAAAATAATTAAGCCTGCGATTCATGGAGGGGGAGCTAAACCTTGATCAACACAACGAGAGGCAATGACATGACGGCCCATCCTCCATCTGCTCTGACGTTGTACTGTCTCTCCCTTTATTCGAAACATTGAAGGACATCACCTCTCTGTTCAGTGCCATTAGCCTCTAGCTCATTCTCTTCCTCAATGCTAATTGACTCAAAAACACACAAGGTGAGGTCCCCGGGATGAACTAAAAGCGTGCACAGACGGGCCTCACAATGGCCTAATTACAAAAATGATCTGGAATAGAGTGCAGTAAGTGTTCAAACCCTTGTTGGCCATGGGAATGGAAGCATTTGCGCTTTGGTGAGCTTTTCAAAACATACTAAGCATGAAATTAATTTTCTGCACGTCAATAGGTGGCATTCTAAGCACCTACAGCTCTGTTGTTTGAATGAGAATCATTAA